CTGTATTGAATACTTTAACTGATTGTTTGAACTCTTGTCGGTTTTGTTACTTTATAATGTATATAAATCTTTTTTTCTTTATATTTGTTTGTTGTTCTATGCGTCAGTGTTAAGTTTGCAATACGTTGCATAATGCACGGTTGGATTTTGCGTTTACGTTGATCTCCGGGGGCCCAGTTTTCGGACTTCGCCTCAGGCCCCGCCGATCACAAGACCGGCCCTGCTGCTATGCATGCTAAATTAATGGAATTAAGAAGCCAAAACAAAGCCATAGTAAAAGCTTAAAATTGTATGGGAAATTAGCAAAAAAGCTATTCATTTACCTGTAATAAACATGGGAATAATCCAGCACACAGTGCAGGAATGCCACCTTGCTCCACTATCTTGACACGAGTTTGCAGTGTGCTCATCTTAGTTTCCCGAGCTTGCATCTGAAGCTTCCTTCCCACAAGCTCAAATGGATATGTAGCAGCTTCAGAACTTGCACCAGTAATCGCCCCATATAGTGAAGTTCTGGTAGGACCCACCTCAAGTTGTTGCAAAGCATTTAATCGGCCAAGTTGTGAAAGCCGTTTTCTTCCTTTTGGTGAATGCAAATATGCTGATTTCAGTATATCATAAACTCCATAGGAAACAGCACCAGAAGTTGCCATGCTAATGATTGAAGGAACTAAGCCCTTTTAGAGAGAAAAGAACCCTTCAGTTTGGATCATGTGGCAGGAAGCACCAACTAATCCACCCAAGGCTTCTCCCCGAGGAGCAATCATAACTGTCCTAACATTAAGAATAAAAGATGATTTGCCAAACCAATTAATAGGATGGATGCTAGATGAAAGATCCTTTCAAAGAAAAAAAATACTTTGCAACTAATTAGCCACTAAGAATATCTTTTCAAGAAATGATTAACCAAAAACAATTAGCAAGTACTCAGCAAAGGAGAGAGAGAGATGAGTCCAAGGCTTCAACTACTAAATGTGTCTAAATTTTATATGGATGGTCATTACAACAAGGCTACTAAATAGTCATTTCTAAAGATATTAAACTGGAAATGAGGCAAGTTAGTTATCAGTTTGATCGTGTTCAATGATATATGGTCCTCGAATTCATCCCAGCTTCCAATCAATAAACACGACTGCTCGATGAGTGTCTAAATTAGAGTTGTTTATTTAGTATACTGAGGAAACTAGATTCCAATGTTCATTTGCATCACATTGTAATCCAATGTTCATAACTAATGACATTCCTATGCATTCGTGGAGTGGGTGCTGAGGCATATATGAATAAAAAAAATACTAAAGGCTAGGACAAAGGAAAAGGATCTAATATAACAGGCAAACACATTATCAGCCACCTTCACATTACCAAAACTAACAAAAACGAGAATCACATTGGGGTTCCTAAAAAAATTGATAACATAAGATAATAACATCATATTACATCAAAAGAAACCATCTTAAATGCATAGAGAGGTTAAGATTTTACATTAGCATCACCACGTCTATCTGATCTCTACACATGCCGAGCATACCAACCCTACTATCAAACTCGTCGCCCTGGACCAAACATAAAGTTAAATCATTCGGCCAGAGCTAATTTACAAGAGAATCTGTGCAACCTAATCAGAAAATTGTACCAGTAAACTAAGCTAGGTGGTGGCGTTTTACACAGTATATGATGATATAGGGAAATTTAAGTTACAATAGGCATGAAAGTGTCATCCTCCTACAAAGCTTCAAGGTCGATTAGATCATCAAAATCGACATCTGGATTGTTCAAGACCCCATCGCACTTGGCCTGCAGGGAAAATCAAGAGGATCAAATCAAATTTTACACAGTTTCATCAACGAGAAGCAATAATATTCGATTTTAGCAAAATTGTTGATCATTAAGTTAAAGTGCGATAAGTGGAGAATCGGAGACATAACTTAGGTCAAATATGTTCATGGACAAAATAGTTACGGCTAAAATCATAACAATGTCTATTCTCTAAACATGACGATAAATATCACAATTATTTGGAGATCATAAGATAATTGTTGCCAACAAGAAACCCTCTTGTCGGCACCCTCTTCATTGCATGCTCATGGGTTTTACTTAAGAGTATAAGGCATCAGTTACCCAGCATTGAGGTAAGTGGTTCACCTGATACCCACTAGAGAAGTCTTGGCTGTGGGATAGACTTCACAGCCTTGACAATAACAAAAATACCCTATGAGTATTTTTTTTCTTTTTTCTTTTTTTCCACACCAGTTGTGGAAATCTGGAGGAGTCAACTTAAGGAGTGGTAGGTTTAAGGTATAATTTGGGATAATCGGTTTGCTGCAAGTTGCAACAATAAAAGTAGACTTATGTAGTTAGTAGCAATTCATAAATGAACGAGTAGCTTCAAATTTCCAGGAGCAGGGCCTGTGGAGTCGGAAGAAATACGTCTGGAATGTAAAGTGTGGTGTGTCACTCAAGTGCACAATTTCCTCAGCTAAAGCCGTAGCCCAAACTGTATCTATTTTGTTGCATCAAGTACACCCCTATGTATAGTCCAAATATCAATTTTCCCACCATGTGCGGTCTTAAAAGTATCACTCTAAATGTAATGAAAAATGCTATGTTCAAATTTCATCACCATATGGACTCCAAAAATTCCAGGATCAAAGTTTCCATACAAGGATGCAAGAGTTATCATCACTTTCAAAAAATTAAGGTGCTCGTTTAGCACGATAAGTTATAAAATAGGCCAACCTTTGTTTCCTGCATTTCTGAGACTACATTGAGCAATCTGCGGTATTGGTCTCGAGCCTCTGGGTACTGAACCATGGATTTCACCCTAGCCAAGGCCTTCTGCAATCTTTCCTCTGTTTGCTTTCTACCTTCTTTTAAGAAATCATAGTCATCCTCCTTTGGTTCTGTTAATTGCACGCTAGTACCTGCAGAAAGTGCTTCAGGTTTGAATGAACTCAATCCTCTTCCTTTCCTTCGCCAGCGCAAAATGACCTTATCCAGAATGCCTACCGACCAGATTATCTTTTTGTAGTTCTTCCTCACCTGGTGTCCTCTCACATGGGCCTTTTATATGTAACACCAAAATTCAGAATTTTTGAAAATTTCATGGACAATTAACAACTGAAACATATAAGAAGCATGCATCACATTCTTCTTGATAACATACGAGATAGAGCACCAGACCTGAATTTTAATAATTCGTTGCCGAATCAACAAATACTCCTTTCTGCCTTTCCAACTGCGGAATTTATTTTGTATTGATATTGCAGCAGAATCCATTGGTTCATCATGTCGCCCAGTTTTCTTGCCTTTTACAGATAGAAGTGAAAGCACACGCTCATCTGACATTCCAAATTCACTGTCCCCATACTCTTTTGTCTGCTTTTTCTGAAATGACTGTACTCTGAAGACTTGATGAATGCGAGCTGCAGCTTGAGTTGCATTACGAACAGCAGCCAATGAATCTTTTAATGACAGTCCCTGGGGCAAGTCATCATAACCAACTAAAGTTGCAGTGCGCTCAGATAATGTTTCTACAGCTTTTTCTTCATTATCACCCTCCTTTGAATTCTTCAGGTTAAGTGAAAAAAGGTGGTAACTTAGGGCAGACTCTGCAAGATAACCAGCAATTCCTTTGTGTCCATTGCAGGATGCTAAGTCTGCAGGAGTTCTTCCAGAAGGACATTTGGGGGTGGGATCCGTCAATGCTCCAGGAGCTGCATCTATGGAGATGAGGAAAGCCACCATGCGCTCTCTAAAATCGCAATTGTTGGAGCAAAATACAGAGATAAGATTCGTCAAAAGATATAAGTGGACTCATAATATCAAGGATTACAATTAGCAGACAGAAAAACCAGAGCACCTGTTTCATACTTGCTAAATATGAACAATGTAGCTCTGAAACATTTATACAATATGGTACAAAAAGTAACCCAACGTAAAGCATCAAAGTAAAATACCATGATTCCTACCTGCCATAATATGCTGCCCAGTGAAGTGCAGTCCATCCATTTGCATCCCGAAAATTGACACTAACACCTGCAGCAATTGTGGGTTCTATAGCCCAGTCATACCCAAGAGCTGCTGCAAAATGCAGAACACCTTGACCACCCTCGTCTAATATATTAGGGCCTTTCCCACCTTCAGCAACCTTCTGGAGAAGCCAGTAATACAACTTCTCCTTTAAAAGCTTTTGCAATAGCCGGTCTTGTACCCTGTCAGCTGAAAATTCATCCTGCGTAGTGAGTTTTAACATCTGTTCCCACTCATTGTCATCTTTCAGCAATGAACTGATTTTACTGCACAAATCATTTTCCGCTGCCCCCTTCTGGACAGAAGTTTGGACAGATCCAAGAGACAAAAATTTCCCAAATCTCATATGAAGAACAGTTTCACCAAAGATTACATTTCCTGCATCTGCAATATCTACTTCTTGAACATCTGTAGTTCGGAATTCAAATTCTCGTACTTCGCTGCATGCTAGCCTGTTAGAACATGTCACATAGAATGGAACCCTCCCAGTCTTTTGTGAGAGTATGCAACAGCAAAGAACGCCATCTGCTATAATCTCTGCCGGAACTTCCAGTTCACCAAACATGCATGCCCAATTATACTTCTCCAACTCTTCATGACTCCTTAAGAATGTTCCCTTAATAACCACCTGAAAACGAAACATAAGAAAGAATATAATACCTTTATTATTTTGTGAAGTAAAACTGCAGAAGGAGCTGATACATATGAGCAACTGAATCAGCCTTAGACTAGAGTATTTGATATAATTAACCTTAATTTCTGACCCAGCGCATGCCCAGTTCGGTGAGAAGTCAATTATGCTAAAGAGCTGGTCTTGGGAGAGAGAGGGGCCTAGAAAATAGTTGTCCAATGGCACTTGAGCAGAGATACCAGAATCATCACCTCCACCTTTAACTCCAACTGTCACCCAGGAGGGCAAAGAACCAGGTCGCATTTGTGATTCAGTAACAGCTTTCCGGTTGTCAAAGCTGTTGGGATTCTTCGGAACTTCTCTTAGATGCCAGTCTAAGCAAGGTTGCTCTGACGTTGGAGAACTTTCTAGTCCAGCAGACATATCCTGCCTTTGATGATCAATATGCATAGGTTGTGCACTATATGGACATGCATTGTAAGGCCCCATGGTGTCGTACAGCTCCTCATTATTAACATTCTGATCCATGGGCCACTTCAATACATGTACAAAATCACATTCAGAAGTCTGATTAATTTCAAAGTCCGGAGAAAAAAGAGAAGAAATCATTTTGAACTTTATGTGCATGAGATTTAGCATAGAAGCTCAACGTCACAACATGATATATATCACTACACATTTTCATTGACATAGAAAACTAACTACAAGTATTTCCAGCTGCAATTAATCATAAACTCAGAAGCTCCAAATTTTATGATTAAAAAAAAATGCATGAACTAGATTGAAAACTTCGGATGGATAAGGCAAGAATTACTGAGGCCACTTCAAAAAAACTAGATTACCATAGTAAGAATCCTTCCTTCTGATCTAGTGCTTTCTACTATTTCGACAGGCAAATAGGGGTTTAAATATGAGTTTTAACTTCTAAAGACCACATAAAAGCTGCCATACTATGGAACCATCGTAAGCAAGTTAAACCTATTAACACTGTTTTCCATCTGTTAAGAAAACCCATCCTACCCATGCACTTATAGAACTCCGAGGTCCATTCTCAAGTTCCAACAGCAAACATCTACTTGTACCATGTCAAAGAGGATCGAGGAAAAGCCAGTGGATAGAGCGATCTAGTCCTAACGTGGCACATTCAAGCTATAATGTTGGCATCTACTGCTATGCTATCAGTTGTGGTGAATGGAAAATGTAACAGAGATGTTAATCTGTACCTGCAACTCTCCTAAGCCATAGGAATGGCTTCCAAAAGCTTGCCCTTTACCAATGGAACCAGAAATAACTTGCCCCAGTGATTCATTTTCATGTCCAAGCATCATGCCAACCGAACTTTGGGCCGAAGAAAATGGTGGCTGAAAATTGATAGATTGGAAGCCATCGGTACCGCCATCCATAACATTTTCCAAAAATTCGAAATCAGGGTTGCAGTGGAGGTCATATGCCAATCCATCATCCATGGAGTTTTTATTTTTTTCTCTTTGTGTAATTGATTCAAAACTTGCACCAGTAATAGCTGAGAATTGTCCTTGAAAATTATATGCAGAAATAATGAATCATTATCAATATGAAATCATTTGAATAATATTCAACTATGTAAAAGTAGAAAAGTAAATATTCCGCCGTCCAAAATTGGATGAATGCCTAACTTTAACTATCACAGTCCAATAGATGCCTTTGCAGTACATTCTTTAGTATTAATATATTATTTTTGATATACGAGCTCACGTGGTAATAAAATTTAATTACTCCTTTTTCAATGTTTTTTCAACTTATAACTAAGTCGCAATCCCAACAAACTTAAAATCAGTTACATAAATACATTTTTGACCTTAAGTTCAAAATTTTGAACGAAAGGGTAAAAAATTATATGGCTACAGAAATGGTCCTACTAACCATGAAAGTGAAATCATCTAAAGGTTAAGAATCTTTCTTGCTGTACAGGGGTCCCTGCCAGGTAAGATACAAGGTAGGGCTCACATAAATATTTTTTAAAAAAAAAACATGTGGGGCCCGCCTGTTGTGAGGGGCCTGTAATTGCCCTGTGAACCATTTTTCTGTAAATATAGCTTAATTCAATGGTTAACGCTGCAGCCGGAAAAATGGATGACGACACATTACCTGATATAGGGACATCACAATAAGGAATTGAACCATCTCCCATCTTCTGTACCACTGGTTGCAGTAGATTGTCAAAAGACTGGAATCCTGGACTTTGTTGGTGACAATACACTGCAGATACAATATTTTTTAGTGATGACTATGAATATAAATGATTTTTGAGAGTATTTTAATTACAGAAAACAAAAAAGAAAAGTGAAAACTTCAATGCAGCTTCATGGATTGTAATACTGTATAGTGAAAAAGTGAGAAATGCACAGCAAGAAAACCTGATTCAGCATTTTCAAACTGAGAAGCATGAGCACGGTCGAGGCTAGCAGAATTCATAACTTGCAAGGTTCCTTCATGGCTATTTGGTTGGATTTCTGAAAATACAGAACTTTCAACCTCAGAGTTGCGTATATTTTCTCTTGGTTTTTGGGAATCAGGAATAACTTCAGACTCCCTATAACGATTGAAATTTGATCTGTCTGCCTGAAAGGAAACAAATATTTCAGGAAGTTTATAAACATTGCAGCTGCCCAAAAAATACCGAGGATGCCATATACTAGTATTCAGAGAAAGAAATGTACATGAAGACCTAGATTCAAGTCAAGGCCAGGAATGCCTTCGCAAAACCAAATTATAGTTCATTGTAAGTATTGTTTAATTAACAGAATCCTCAGATTATAAGATTTTCACATAATTGATTTCAAAGTAGAGATTTTGAACATACATCAACTTTCTTGCACTTTAAGCCAATAGGTGATTACATAAAGATCAACATTTTTTGATAAGATGTGCTAATACAGCTGTTATAATGAGCTGACAGGTGTAATTTCTATACATATCTAGGCCATCAAAAGTGAATATATGAAAGTCAAATTGATTGGATTGCTACTTAGCTCTTGTTTGACATCCATTCTATTTCTCTTTTTTTTTCTCTTTCTTCATTTCAACCACACATTTTATCAATAAAATAGCATTACACATAAATCCAAAAATTCTCCTTACTTTTTAACCGCATAATCTTCCATTGGCGGACTTAGGGGGGGTCCCGGGGGGGCAAGTCCCTCCCCAACTTTTGAGATTTTTTTTTTATAAAATCGTATTTGATATCAATTGAAATCTAAATTTTAATCTAAATCAAAGTTAATAATTAATTTTAATAACATATTTCATGGAGTCCACAACTGTTTAACTTTTATCAAAATTTACTAAAAATTTGATTTAATCTCCACCAAACAGGGACAAAATCACAATAAATTTGAATTTCGATAACATACTAATTTTAAAAATTCTCCGACAATCGTACGCTAATCGAATATATAAATTACTTATGTCATCTCAAAACTTATTTCGAGAACTACATTATGAACATATCGAATAGTCCAAACAGATATCGAAAATAGTTAAAAATACGTTAAACGTGAATCTTAAAAAAAGACGTCTAACTCACATTTTTTTAAAAATTTCAATTTTTTCATTAACATTTATTATTTTGCGATACAAATTTCTCAATATAATTTTCATCANCCCCCCCCCCAACTTTTAAGGTCTGCGTCCGCCCCTTCATTCTTCTATCAATCACTATTCCAAAATCTATTATTTCCCCAAAATGGATGTCAAACACAAGCTTAATTTGGTGAAATATAGATTGTTGTAGGATATATTGAGGTTTGGATGGCTTTTAATTAAAAGAAGTGATAATCTGCCAAAGAATAGCAAAAAAGGAAGAATTTCAAAGTTCAGGGACTAAATTGAAAATATTCCAAAGTTGAATCTAACCAAGGAATGAAGATTGAAGTCCATACGGAGTCAATTGGATGAAATTAGAAGATGAAAGGCTGAACTTGCACGAGAAAAGGACTTAAGATGAAATTAGAAGAAAAGATGGGGACCAAATTGCGGAACAACAAAAGCATTAATCTGGCAGACGGAGACAATTTCCTTCTTTGATTAAAACTCCTTATGGCAACCATCTAAGACATTGATTTTGACCAAATTTCAACCTCTTTAAGCACATAACAGCATCCAACATTGCAAGATACTTCTTACAGGAGGCAACATAACTATTCTTTAGGGAGAATTCAAGAAGCAAGATACAAGAACTCAATCCTTCAAGAATTCCATCTTGGTTTTTGAGCAAAGAAGACGAAAGTGCAGCTAGAGATCAATCAAGAACTAATAAGGGGGATTCGAAATCTTAGTGCATGTTTAACCTAATCTTACAAAAAGCGTTCGTAGTTGTTCATTAGAATAATTATTTAATTTAGTTAGATGATTAGTATAAATTCACAATCAAAAGTTGGTTATTCGATTAGAGTTAGCATTAATTTAACGCTAGATTAAGTACATAGTCTTTGTAGGACAATACATTATTTATCATTATATTACTTGTCTATGATACCGTGCATTCGAGAGTTTCGTCTATCAAGGACCATTACCTTTACTTCCCGGTAGTGAACAAGAACTATGTGAGACAACCACCTGAAGCAAAAACCAGCAATTAAAAGAAATCAGACTCCTCCGAATAAGATGAAAAATAAGTAGAGGGGATGAAAAAATGAACCCAAGTACTGTGATCCCATAAGGCCACTTTCTACATCATCCTAATCAAGTAGACGAAGCAATTTTAGTATTTTAGTACATCCAGTTGCCAGACAAATTTAACGCAAGTGTAGGTGAGAAAATGCACATACATGATCTACAATCCCTGAAGCAGGACAAGGGTTAATTTAAATTAAACTGTTCCTATAATAAATATAATTATAGAAAAATATGTGAATTAGATCATAAATACATTCAAAGAAAGAACTAACCTGATTTACAAGGAGTCCTTAAATTTAATATAGTGCTTGTTTGGTAGGGATTTTTGGGGGAAGAATTGATTTTTGAATAGTGATATGATGGGAAATGTGTGGTTGAAAAAGAAGAAAAAATTATTGATATAATGAAAAATATTATTTTATTGAAAAATGTGTGGTTGAAAATGAGAATTGATTTGAGAATCAATTCTCAAATAAAAAACAAACACCCTATATTTTCTATATATTAAAAGTGGCTATGTAACGAAATAGAATAAAAAACAAACAGGTCCATAGTGTATTGTCTAAGGATTCTTAAAAGACTGAATTACTATGCATGGAAATTATAATATCTAATAAACTATAATTAGTACAACCAATAACAAATAGTCTTCTGCCAAATCATTATTTTCTTTGTAGTTTCCCTCCATTAATTAAATTCTCCTCCAGTGAATTACAAGATTGTGCTATTGCAACCTAGTAGAAACAGCAAGAAGATCTAGAGCAACAAAAATAATCTAAACAGCCTGCTCTCATGGTGACATAATGACCACAAGAACACCAATTATGAACTAATACCAAATAACACCTTCCGAAAATTTACACCTATGTTTCTTACTGAAACTCTGGAAGCCAAAAGTGGATATAAAACATGAAGATTTTGTACTATGTCATAGAGATCTAAAAGTCCCTCTGCAATTTCTACAGTTAGGGTTGTTCAACTATCATAATGATTCAACCTACTGAGACAATGTTTCCAGATTTAGTTTTGGCTCTAAAGTCAATTGATGTAGAATAAGAGCTAATCTAAATTAATCTACTACTACAATCAATCTGAAGAGAAAAATATATCAGCGTTAGTGACAGTACATCAAAGGTACCGATATCCTAGATATGACCTCATTTATATAGGCTACACACAAAACAAAAGAAACAAAATAATCCACTAGGGATCATTAAATTGGAAAACAACTAAAACAAAAAGAATTCTAAAAATGAGTAAATAAAAATTCCAATATTAATAAATAAATGGTAGATCAGCTGTTAATTTAAGTCCACCCACAAGACAAAGAAAAGAAAGCCAGTACCTGTGGTCTGTGGACATTTATTTGGAAAAAATTTCACTATAGAGGATTAAAAAATTTCCCACTGTAGACACTTAAATTGTTCAACATATCAATGATTCAGTAAATGGCAGAAAATTGTCGAACTAATTGAACCAAACAGCTTTAGAAAGTTGGACACGTAAACTTTTTCAAATCACTGGATATTTTCAGTCAAGAAAGATCAGAAAAGCTTGAGAATGAAAAGTAGAAGAGCTACTTCATTTGTTACGCGTTTTTATCCAATCATCATAAATTGATAGTTACAAATTTTTTACATTATGAAACTTAATTTTTTTTGATAGGTTACATTATGAAACTTAATAAAACCAGACTTACTCTTCAAGCATCCAATAGCTGCGCCTTTGAAAATTTTGGTCCTCTTCTCCATGGGCATAGTAGCAATGTAATACAACAATTCTTCCAACCTGAAAAGATATATGCTTCCAGATGTATTATTATGGAAGTATCGACATAATTTACAAGAAGACTAACTTCTTATATCTGATTTAGGGGTTTTTGTTTTTTGAAACTGTTTTATCTGATATAGTTAGAAAGGTCATCACCTCAAAAGAAACTTTTTTAGGTTTTTCCCAGTAAAATGAAAAACCATAAGCAGTGCAACATCAGTTGGCACCTACCTTGAGCTTTTCATTAGCCTCCCTCACAGTTTTTCCATCTCTCTTCTTCATCCAGTTATAGCCATCTTTTCTGAAGTGTCGTAGCACCTTGCGGTCAAAAAGAAGGAGCGAACCACCTAAATGGGACAATATATCAAAATAACATGCATAAAATCAAAATCAACTACAAAGGAACAATATTGAAAAAACTGTCACAAAGCCTTTTTTCCTTATTTGAAGAAAAACATATACAGGACCGGATGAAGACAGATATCTTTCAACAATGTTGTGCAGATCTAACTTAAAACTTCCATTGCTCATTTAGAAACACAAACAGAAGGACAGAGAGGTGAATCTAACAGAAAAGTCGTCCTAAGTTGTTGAGTCTAGTTGAAGACAAAGTATGACAACACAGTAAAAAGAACAAATAAGAAGCTAACCACAACACCTATAGTATGGGCTGTAATTGAATAAAGCTCCACATAAAGATGCAATATTGAATAAATGGTCGTCTTTCGATTTTCTTTGACCTTAAAAATTTGTGCGTACTGTAATTTCATTGCAAATTTACCCGACACCATACTTTCATGTCACGCAAAAGAATCAGATCACAGATTCGTGAATAAAGTGCCAAAACGTCTATTAATTTGAATCCAAACCTTCAAAGTTAAGATTTTTACAGGTTATCACTAAATAGTGGTATTAAAAAGAATTGGTACACGTTTATAGCATATGAGACAACAACTAAACGTTACAATTCTAAAAGGCAAAACGGACATGTCGATGCATGTGTTTTTGTGTGTTAACCTGACCATTATTAAGGTAACAGGAGCACTAAAAGTCTTACTTGGGGGTCTATTAGGAGGTTCTGGTGAAAGGCAAAATTTTTTGTAATTTCGAAGAATTTCACAAATTTCAGCAGGACGCAGCCACCGATGTTGTGCTTCCAGGAGTATCTGATCAATATCTGCATTAAACTAGCAACTCAGTTAATTGATATAGACATATAAGTTTTCTTGCAGAGAAAGAATTTCAAGAAAGCAGAGATTGTAGAAGGCATCACTTCACAACTTATACCACAGCTAATCCATTTTAAAGGCAAATTCTTAATCCTTCATGATAAATGACAAAAAAAAAAAGAGTTCAGGTGTTTAGCTCATCAATAAAATTTTCCCAATTATCATGAAATTCTTTGTATCCCTTAAATGGTTCATCCCTCAATATGATGACTTTGAATGTGATCCGCTCTTGTCTAGCTCTCCCCACGGGCAGCACACAAATACTGAAGGCAGTTTTGAGCATGTTTTGTGCAATAACAACATTTTAGGAGCAACGCAAAGTAGTGTCCAACTATGAAAATGAAAAGAAAGATTTACAAACAAAATGTTAGTGCTACAATACACAGAAAATGAGACTCAGACAGGGAAATCAGCATCCAACATAAAGCCATTGAAAAGTTGAAAAATGATAATTATTACGAATCAATGATGAAAAACAAGTGTAAAGTGAGCTACAAAGAAAACAGTATTAAGTGTGTTGGCAATTGGAGAATGAAAGCAAATAAAAAATTGTTCTAATGATGTAAACATTATAACTATCTTAAAAGAGTTAATTTCGACAAAGACTGGTTCACGAATGAACTGGTTTACCCACCATGGAATATTTATAAATATTCTCAACCATTTCACTAGTAGACGAACTATGAATTGATGACATGTTTGTTAATATTTCAACTGTTATTTTCAGCTAGATGGAGGAGACACCGACCTAGAAGGTGATTGCCCGGATAACATTTCTCGGCGACAAACATAGGATCTTTCATTTCCGTATTCCTGACTATGTGCAAACCGTCTGGCACCTTTGTTTCGCGAAGACCAACACAAAGAGTAGTTTCCTTATGAAATGGAATGTACCAATTCAAGTCCTCATTGTCTCGTATTTCTGCTGGAGGTACATTCATATTTGGGATTTTGAATTTCAATTCAATTTGTGTAGACGGATCTTGAATATGAAGCTTCTCCTTCAATCTTACCAGAAGTCCATCCATGGTGATATCACTTGGAACTAAGAGTAAAGTGGTTTTGCTTCCTCTCCACTTCCACTCGTCATCCACATGCACGAAATCTCCCTCGTGTGACACGATAAATCTCAAATTAGTAAACATACCTGAACATTTAAGATAGCAATGATAAGCGTACGACACAATCATAATATCTAAGTTTATTAGCATGCAATTCGCACGTACGAAAAAAGTACACGAAAATTAAAAAAAAATGTCGATTCCAAAGGATGAAATGTCAACTTGTCATCCGACGGAATCAACAGTTTCATGTCGCCATTTCTACTGCTGATTTGAACAGTCTGTCTTAGCATTTCAGGGGTGATGGAATACATTATTTCCAGCATTAATTGTGTTCATCAATGCTCGACTATTAAATGAGAAAAAAATCACAAATCATTGAACCAGTGCTTCATTAAATAGGGAATCTTCCATTACATTAAATGGGGAACATTGCTCTCATTCAAAAACACATGCAAATCCAAACCTAATGCATGAATGAATAAGAAGTTAGGAAATTAAAAATCATGATGTTGGTGTTTGCCTTTAATAATTGAGAAATACGTTAGAAGATATAAAAATGAAACATTTTGTAAATGCTAACCTTTCCACCAAAAAAGGCTATACGAGTGAAACGTAGAAAAAAGGCTAAATGAAACATTGCCCTCAATTCGCTCTTTTTCTAGCTCTCCCCACGGCAGCCCGCAAATACTGAAGGCAGTTTAGAGCATGTTTTGTGCAATAACAACATTTTAGGAGAAACGCAAAGTAGTGTCTAACTATGAAAATGAAAAAAAAAATGATTTACCAACAAAATGTTACTGCTACAATATACAGAAAATGGACTCAGGTTAGAAAGGAAAATCAACATCTAACATGAGACCATTGAAAAGTTTAAAGCTGATAAATATCAAGAATCAATTATCAAAACAAGTGTAGCAAGTAAGCTACAAAGAGAACAGCATTAAGTGTGTTGGCAAGTGGAGAATGAAAGCAAATAAATTATTGTTCTAATGATGTAAACATTATAACTATCTTAAAAGAGTTAATTTTGACAAAGACTGGTTCGTGAATGAACTGGTTTACCCACCACGGAATATTTTCTGATTCCATTCAGGCGGATGCTATGTATCGAATCGAATGTGGCAGGAAAAACCTCGATTGCATTCTTATTACTTAAGCAAAAAAGATCAAAATACTTTTTCATCCTTTCACGGGGATTTGTTCCTTTGGTAATCCTCTTCAATAAAAAATTGTGTTGACGAATTGCCCTTTGCCTCCGACAATTACTACGTCATATCACGCATATTCCTTGAGCTTTAGAATTTTATAAAGACACGTGTATACTCACCTATATGTACATTTAGATGAACGTATGCAGATAAATAAAGCTAAAAGCATATACGCTGACTTTTGAAAATTTTAAAGCTCAATTCAGCCAAAAAAATCAAGAAAATAATATTTAAAAATACAGAAAATCGTAATAACAGCTTAAAAAGAGAGGCAGGAAAGAGAAATCACCTAATTGAGCATTGAGCTGTCCACTATCCGCCATCTCTCGTCAATCCGAAGCCGTTTTCTCAAATCTTGTTAATTCAACTATGCTTACAAAGATTTGTTTCTACAATTCATTCATAGCAGATCAAAATTAACTAAAAGAAAAATAAGAAATCATCCAAAGCTCGCTCTGACAATCCACTGATTGACTTAGCTTCTACAGTCCAATATCGAGGCAAAGAAAAAATCCAAAGCGATGACGGAACAGACAGAAATTGATCAGGATCAAGTTGTAATGTAACGAGTGACGCGTAGAAAAAGGCTAAACGAGTGAAACTTTCATGTGCTAAACGAGTGAAAAGTAGAAAACGAGTAAGAAAACGAGGAAGGTGAGAGTATTTTGGAAAAGGAATGGAAGGCAGTCAGCGAGTTCAGACGGTGACAGGTGAACTTTTCTTTTCGGATTAATGTATGGGTACATAAATGGACACATAATGGTTGACATAATGTGAGTGTGGTAGGACCCACGGTACTGTAGCATGGGCCCCACCTCCACTCACATTATGTCAACCATTATGTATCCACCTATGTACTCCAAGCAATGCTCAAAAATTATTTTTTATATTAATGGTCGAAATTTTAACAACATTAATATTGTCGATCATAATTGTCAATAACAATTATTCAATTAGATTAGCTCCTATTTGATTATCATTATTTTTAAAATATATTTTTCTCTCTTCTTTTCAATCACTAATTTTTCAATAAAATAATATTACACGCAATCCTGATGATATACGCAATACAAGTCTTTTGTTTTTCTTCTATTATTATAAGTAGCTAAGTTTTTCTGTAGGACGAACAATATAATCAAATTGAAACCATTTATTTCTTTTATTCAAGATTTAAGTGTTTTTATCATATTTGTGTTGATTTTATTTATGTATTTAACGTTTTGAATTATTTGATCACTAATTCAATATTTTTTTTTTTATTTTTTTACTAATCGAGATGTGAGTTTTAGATTTAAACCACGTAATAAAATTCGATAATTTAGTATAACGTATAGAGATATCTATACCAATTATTGTGGTTGTTAGATGAATTTTTAGAACTAACATTTTGTTTAACTAAGATTGTTTTTCATAGAAATATAGATTGAATTAGTTAAATAGGCTCAATGAGAACTTGTCCATTATGGATGCCTTTTTGGCATCCATAATGTACAACAAGACTTGCTACTAGTACATTATGGATGCCTTTATTACATCCATAATGTACAACAAGACAAATCCATAAATTAAATACAATAGAAGGATTTGATGGAACACTACATTATGTTATACATCTTGAATTAAGATTTAAAGTGATCAATAGATAAATTTGTTTAAATCCTAATATCTAATTCTATATTTGAATTCTAAATCCATCTTTATATGCATCCCGCTATTTTCAAATAGTTAGATCAAAAATCACAATTCTTTCTTTGTTTTCGTTAAATAGTAGTTAGAAATATTAAATTAAGCATTAAAGTATAGTTCTAGTGAGAATGATAATTCGGACTCAAAGGTCCAATATATTACTTACGATATCGTACACTTGCGATATAAAAATACATCAGCCGCATCAATTTTTCATTTTCATAACCAAAGCACTCACATGCGAACACACAAAGATTAGTAGAAATAAAAACTAATGTTCACGTACATATATGTTGGTTTACGTACACCCCATTTGTCTAAATGAATATAAATCATTCTTTTTATATATTCAATAATTCAAATTAATTAAAGTACATGTTCATGAATTTATTTGATTGTTCTTCTGAGTTTTAGATGTAAATGAATTAATCTATCAACTATTTAAATTGTTTTTACAAATTAGTTATTGTTACATTTCAATCATAAAATATATTGCTCTCTCCATCATGGAATTAAAGGCTATAAGAGACTTATTGGCATATGAAAATGAATAATCTATTAAAGTGATGGTAGTTCGAAAAGGTTTGATCGAATCTTACTCTAACAATACTAGAAAAATTGATCTTTTGAAGCACGTCCTAATTGACAATGAGGTAATACATCTACTACGATCACCCTTATATTTAATATTAATAGCTTTGAATTCATCTTCGAGGTCCAAATACTCACATGGCATAAATATTTCATCTCCTACATATTTTTACGTGTTTGTAAAATCTGAATTAAAAAGTCAAATTAGTTTTATTTACAGTACAAGGAAGGAGACGAATGGTCAACAGGTTTTGCCACGGACCACCCACGACTCGCGGTTGCGAGGCTAAAATGCTTTGGTTATACAGTCAAGTCAATATAAATAATTTGTGTCAACTCAGAAGTTCATTATCAATCATTGGAATTGTGTCAAATAATAATAAGGCAATTTTAGCATAAACCAATTGGCGTTTTTGAAATTTTGCTTTAACCTTTTCCAATCATCCTTTATAAGAAAAAATGCTTGGAATGAAACTATGCATGGTCCTACATAAAAGGTCACTATTTATTTATTGAGTTAAATTATTTGTACATCAAAATTGTACATCACTTTTGACATCATTCAAATTGACATGATTTGATTGGACAAAAAATTGTTTATATTTTAAATAGTCCAATAACGTGTTGCCACATGGCACAATATAAAAAATGGTGTACAAGTAGTATGATTGTTATTTATTAATTCTTAGTATATGTTTTCATAATTTATTAGGAATTAAAGGACCTAAGTTGCAATTTTAATTAAAAATTGTGAAAGTAGTTTTTCTTTAATCATTTATCTTAATTACCAATTTGTCGATTTCATATTCATCTTTAATTTATGTTATAGGATCTTTTGTTTTTGACTTTTATATTTGTACAATAAAATTGATAGTGATAATTTGAAATGATGCGATGATCAAAGAAAGGAAGAAAAAAAGGAAAAAAAAAACTTTTATCTTACTAATCCGATGACTTAGGTTCCAGTATATTTAATAATTCTGAATACGTCCTTTAATTAATAGTATTTTATTATAATTTAGTTAACATTAAAGATGCTCAACTTTCACTATTAATTTGTTTATCAATGTCAAAAGGCTTGTGTAAAGCAGGTTATTGTGTAGCAAGTTATCTAAAATATTTTTCTCATACTTTCATCTTTTTGATTTGTTGGTCGATGTGTTATTTTTATTTTCTAATTCAATTTTAACGTGTAAATTGCTACTGAATAGGATACTTTTATGTTAATTTGCCACTTATAACTGTTTTTAGGTCTGAAGTCTGCTAATTGTTAATTTTAGTATGTTATTTTGTTAGTTCTCAGAAGTTTTGGATGCTATGGGGAAAATGATTTTTGACTTTTATATTTGTACAATAATTTTGATAGTGATAATTTGAGATAGTGCATAGATCAGAGGAAGGAAAAAAGGAAAAAACCTTCATACTACTAATCTGATGACTTAGGTTATGGTGAATGAATCTTTGTTCTTGATATGCCCCGAATATTTATGCTATGCTGGATTTTTTGAATTTAGTTTTGACGGTAATGGAGTGATGATTATGTGGTATATTCATGTTAGAGTTTATTCAAATTTGTATATTAGAAGTAACATAGTATTTGATTTCTCTACATGGATATAAAATCAAGCCATGTTATTCAATGACGCAACTCAAAAATCTGACACTGTAATTGAAAACAGAAAATCTTACATTATACGAAATGGAAACGTAAGACCTGTCAATGGGAAGTATCGAAATGTGAACGATGAAATTGATAGAAGAGATTAAAGAACGTATATGCTATAAGATATTGAACTCTTTTCTTCAATTCAGTGATGTACAAAATTTCGCTAGTGGAGATGTCCTAATTGGTAGATATACTTTTCAGCCAAATGCACAGTTTACAGTCATATTCGGAGAGTCTTACTAAGTATTAGTTCAAAAATTCAAAAAACTCCACCTGCATATTATAAGCAAGAACTATTTTAATAACAGCTATTTATTGAAATAAAAAAAACCTCCACATGACATTAGTGAAAGCATTGGTGTAGAAATCAATGATATCTAAGGTTGTTCGTTAGTTAATGAATTATTTTTTGTTCAATTTTTTTCTCTTTGCTTTGAGATGTTATAGGATTGGTAATCAAAGTTCGTCATCAACGTTAAGAGGCCAACTGAAAGTACAACAAAGAAACAGAAAGTGATTATCCTAGACAGTGGGTAAACATCATCCATAAAATCAAACAAAATTTTTTAATCAAATAAAAATAAGATAAATTTTATAATATTATTTACTCAACAATTTTGTTCTTAGTACAGATGCAATACAATGAAATTATATTTGCAAAGAGATTTGGCTGACAACAAATGAAAGTTTATAGAAGACATTGTTCATGAAATGTCAATTATTGCAGTTTTGAATGTGAAAGCAAGTTACTACAAAGGTCAAAATTTGTAATTATGTTATTATCATATTAAAACGAACTCTATGCTAAAATCATTAATCTATGCCATGTTCTTACTAATGTCTATCGAACAGGTGAACTAAATATCTCAACTTCAAATGATAGTATCATTGAGATCAATGCACAACTTAAAGAAACTGATGCTATTAAAAATAGGTGAGCGTGATTTATTCATTCGTCACAATTATATTTACACTACTAATCCAGATAGCTGAAAGATGATTTATTTTGCCCCTTTTTATAGCTAAAAATTGCTATGTGGTGGAGGACTGTACAAGCTATTAGGGCCCAAAAAGATGATGGATGCTAGTTTATTAGATGATATTATTACAAATAGTGTGTTTTTGTAGGCAAGATTCTAAAGGTTCAAAACAAGAACAATCCATAGTATGAAATATGTAATGGGTACAGTGCAAGAGTTTACCCAGAGTCGCATAAAAAAATTGTCGCATGTACAAAATGTGAAATTAAGGACATAGCTTTTACTAGAAAAATATTTGCTTAGGTTAATAATTTCATATGGAAATCAAGAAGTTAATGTCACAATTTTTGATGCTGTCGAATCTTTCATAGGATGTACTGTGATTGAATATGATGAGGTT